AATATTTAAGTGTTAAATTGCTGTTTTTGATAGTGAACCACTGAAAAAAAAAATTTCATTTTAACATGAAAAGAAGATTTAGGACAATTCTTGTTTTAACATCCATAGAATAATTTGTGTAAAAGCATGCTGTGGTCTTCTCATTCTCTTCTCAAGGATGTGAGCAAATTTTCAAGATTCGGGGTGACGGAATGTTAAAAAAGAATTTCAAAACACAATAATAATCTACTATTCAGAATTAAAGTAAATGTAATAAAGTCAAATGTAATAGAAATACTTGTTTACTTTTCAAGCCTAACATGATCGGCAGTGGTTGTAACTGTCGAAAGTTATTTGTTTAAACCCCAGAAGGGGCATTTCGTGATTTTGAGGGATATTTTGTTCCTAATAATCACAGCAAGGCATGATGCTTGAGGGTGAGATATACTATAAACCACTTTGGATATGAACATGTCTATTAAATGGCATTTTTTTGTTGTTACACATGTGGGCTTGTGGTTCAGAGATATTGGTAAGAATCACTAAAATTTGCAAATGATTGTGGTTCAATACTTTAATATTACTGTGCCAGCAATCCAAAGGTTGCTGGTTCAAACCCCCGAAGGGCGATTCATGTGCTGGAGAGTTATCCCCTATATCACTGTTTTGCCCTTGAGCAATGTACTTCTTGCTCCAGGGAGACTGTACTTGTAGTAAACACACTGATGTAATTTGGATAAGAAAACATCTGCCCAAACCGTCTTTCAGTGGTAGGGTGGTGGGCTTTAATCCGAAGGTCATTTTTCAAACCCTAGAAGGTTTGATTCATGAACCGGAGAGTTGCTGGGATTCCCTATCACCATTTTGCCCTTGAGCAAGACACGATAGAGGGGTTAAGCGGGACCGTCCTTGTAGTAAATGGACTGTAAGATGCTTTGGATTCAAGACAGCCTTTGAGTTTTAAAAGGCTCAGCACATCTGCACAGAGATACATATGTTTAAGTACTTCGAAATGTTGAAAAACTGAATATGATTTGACTAACCTCTGGTTACACAGCTGGCAGGCAAAGCAGTCCAGGTGATAGACGTTCTCCTTGGCTCTCATGACCATCTCGAATGCTGGGATGAGTTTACTGCAAGCCGCACAGTTCCCTGTCACACCGAACAACCTGACAGATTGAAAAAGATGTGACGTTTTAGAGTCAGAACCATTGGATCAACCATATCATTACGACTGAAATGGGATTGTTGGGGTGATTTATAAATAAATGACTCTTATGAACGAGTTCTTTATAGTGAATCAAAGAGAACAACCAGTATGGTACAATTCACAACTGACTTTTATAAACCGGTTCTTTTATGAGAATCAAAAACATACCAAGCAACCAGTTTAGTCTGATTCACAAACAAATGACTTTTATGAAAGGTTCTAGTGTATTAAAAATATAAAGAGCAACCTGCTTAGTACAGTTCACACTAGACTCTTATGAACTCTATTTTTTTTTCTTTCAGTAATTCAAAAACATACAAAGCCACCAGTGTAATCCGATTCACAAACAATTTCTCAATCAAAGACATACAGAGCAAACAGTGTTGTTGGATTCACAAACAAATGACTCCTATGAACTAGTTATTTTTAGTGAATCAAAAACAGTGTAGTCCAGTTCACAAACAAATGACTCTTTGGAACCGGTTCCTACTAGTGAATCAAAAACATACTGATCAACCAGTGTAATCCAGTTCACAAACAAATTACTTTTTATTAATGAATCAAAAACTTAAAAATAACCAATGTAGTCTGATTCACAAACAAATGACTCATATGAGTCTGTCCTTAAACGAATCATCTTTTTTCCATTCCCATTTATGGGGTTTATTACACAAGTTTATCATATTATATAAATTATTACAGTGTTTTACTCAAGACTGATTATAATATCTGCAGCTGTTTGCTATTCATTTTTTAAATAAATATTTTTGTCACAAGGTTCCCTGTGTAGCATTTCCTGAGAAACGTATTTTAATTCATATGAAATTTATTAAATATGAACGCAAAATGGACTATATAGCTGAGATATGTACAACTGAACAACATGAATCAAACTGAACAAAGAGCTTGTGAATAGAACCAAAAAACAGTATCGATACGAAGCCTACTTCAATATTTCCCATAATGGGAAAGATAATTTTTTACCATATTTAAGGTTGTGCATTGGACAAAAACACATAAGTGGAGTGCGATGTGAACATCATGGAGATGTCCGGGCCGGGTGAGGTTAGCACCACAGAGCCGCTGCCCAGGAACGAGCCTATTATTTTCCAGCCCGCTCGCGGGACATTACGGAGAGGATTCATTAGGGATTCATGGCTGTTACTCCACCGTGACCTAGACCGAGTAAAGGGGGGAAGGGGGAAAATAAATATCTGATAACGAAATCATATAACAAAATAACCTATTAGGCGGACTTCTTCGGGCACTTTTATCCGTCGTTGTTAAAATGATAAAACTGCATGCCACTCTCCAGCTCTGTAAGAGATCGCAATCTGATAAATGATCTCAGGGCCTGGGATTTGCAGGGTTGTTTATTAACCTTCAGAAACTATGTTTCCCACAGGCAAATAAAAAAGAGCCGAGCAGATAGATTGTACTCTCATGAATACCTACAAAATTAAAGGCTACTGTCAACACACCTTGAGACGATGAAGGATATCTCCAATAGCTTTCCAGGTAAGATGAGAAAGAAAACGAGAGTTCGTCCTGTGGATTGGTGCGGTCGATTTAATTAAAGGAATTATGTCTTTTTCTTTGAGCTGTCTAAATATAGACACGTTTGCGATATCACGTCTCCACTATTTTCAGAAAAAGTGCATTGCCAGAAGGCCTCAGCATGAAAGAGATGAAATGATGAGGCATATTTTTTCCACTCGCATCTTGCAATTATTATATATATCAAAGATCTAAATGCAAATATAAAAAGGATGATAGATTCACTGTACGATAACTCGCTTATATAAGGAAAATTATTATGGTGCATTAATGCATGTTCTGAAAAGAAAATACGCATTAATGCACGCGCTGGATTTCAGTTGATGAATGATAGATGACATCCATATGAAAAAATGATGCTTGAAGGTTTTTTTTGTCATCCGGTTGAATCAAACTAGTATTGTGTTTGCCACTCTAGCGAGCTGTGAGCTCAAAACGTCTCGTCTCGTGCAAATTTAAAGTAACCAATACCTTTCCTGGAATTGGACAGTCATGCCTTTTTGCTTTGAACATTTGAGGACAGAGGTCTGTGCTTTGCAAACACACAAAGCATTGAGTGAAGACGACTGCGCTCACCTGAGAATCTAGCTGTGTGTTACATGCGCTGCACTGAGAAATCAATAGATGTGTTTTTATTTAAAGAACTGACTGTATTTTTTCTATGTAATGGATTGTGATCCATCAGAAACTAGATGTAAGTGGAGTATCTTGATGTACTATCATGTTCTTTGGGGAATTTGTTTTGCAGCTTCATTTTGACTGCTGGTTTTAGCTATTCCCTTGTTTCGAAACTGACAGATTTACTCTGGGCTCATATTTTCACACAGCACATTAATATACTCCTTTATTTTTGAGTTTCGACTTGAGTTAGATCGTGTGAAAAGAGTCTTGAGAATTGACTGAAATGGTTTTGCAAGCCAGCATATTTACGTATCTGAACTCATATCTTGTATTAAACACTAGATAAAAAATGTTTGATACAAGTTCAGCTCTATTTACAGCTTTTGTGGCATATTGTTGATTAGCAAAGAAAATTTGAGTCATCCTTAAATTATAGCTTTTTAATAAAAAGTCGAGAAGACATTTATTTTTGATGAAAAATATAGTAAAAGCAGTAATATTGTGAATTTTTTTCTATTTTAATAAATTATTTTAATTTTATTTTTTTATTAAATTTTCAGCGGCCATTACTCCAGTTTTCAGTGCCACATGATCCTTCAGAAATCATTCTAATATTCCGATTTGATGCTCAAGAAACAGCTTTTATTTGTAGAATTACTTGTATTATAATGTAATATAATATAAATAATGTATTGCTACTTTCTGATAAAAGTATTAATTTCTTAAAAAAAAAAAAATATGTATATATATATATATATATATATATCCCAAACTTTATCAAATATATAAAACAATATATATATGTATGTATGTATGTATATAAAATATCTATAATATACCTACTGTATATTGACCACTAGTGGTGAACCTCCACAGACATTAAAAGACCCACTGATGCTAAAAATAGGGAACTGTGCCACAAGCATCCAACGTCCCTCCATACAGGAGACTCTCAGAGAGCTCTGTTTCTCAGCCCAACAGGAAAAGGGGAGGGGCGGTAAGACGGATGAAGCTCTAGCTGCCACTTGTCTTTCACCGATCTGCCAGTTTGATGCCGCAGACGCTAATGGCCCTCAAGGGAGGTGGCAAATTAAGCGTGCATGGCTTGTAATGAATTCGGAGGTGCATGTTCTCTAAATGCAGTCTGCAAGAGAAAAACCTGAGAGTCTGGAGACAAATGCAGACCGGTCTTCCCGTTTATGTTCCGTAGGGTGAAGAAAACGTACAACAGTTTAACTGAGTTTATCGCTCAGTCCGGTTTTCAGTCAATGGTCAGTGGCTGTGTAATATTTGTAGAGTGTTATAGAGGAAATCAAACTCCCTTCGACATAAAGGCTGACAAAATGGCATGTATATTTTAGCAGGCTGAAGAGGCAGCGTGAAATTAAAATTCATGGTGGCTCGGATTCATAAGTTAAAAGAGAATGCGCAATCAGTACCACCTGATTGGACACAAAAGGTGTTGGAAGTGCACAGCGGCTTTTCACAGCTGAATGGCACCTATTTGATGAGAGGAAAACAGACACCAATTAAATTATTCCACAAGGCTTTATCCTAGTGGTCACAGAAGCGAGGCTCAAGCGTGCAGCTTTACTGTAATCATTAGACAGTGCCCCAATGGAAAATGCATGAGCTATGTCACCTCAATATTCTCATCCAGCTCGACAAAATCCTTGTAAATTACTCCCTATCAAACGAGACCCCTCTAGGACTCTAATATGCAAGTGATTCAGATAAGACAAAGAAATGAGACACAGTGTTATGGTCCAAACTGTGTCATTTCGGGACCCTTTACACTCAGGGTTTTCAACCAGTGGTCCATTGAGAAGATAATTAAATTTTAATTTAAAGGGATAGTTCACCCAAAAATTAAAATTCTGTCATCATTTACTCTCACCCTCATAAGTTGCTTTCTTATGTTGAACACAAAAGAAGATATTTTGAAGATTGCTGGTAATCAAACAGTTGGTGGTTGCCATTGACTTCCATAGTATTTTTTTTTCCTACTATGGAAGTCAATGGCAACCACCAACTGTTTGATTACCAGCAATCTTCAAAATATCTTCTTTTATGTTCAACATAAGAAAGCAACTCATACAGGTTTGGAACGACATTAGGGTGAGTAAATGATGACAGAATTTTCATTTTTGGGTGAACTATCCCTTTAATTTCTAACTATTAACTCATTTCTAATTTTCGACGTAATGATCCAGTGTAGTAATCAGGGTTCTGCACCGTTCACAACTGAATTAAGAATGTCTTTTATATTTTAATTCAGTTCCTGAATTTAAATTGATTATTAATTGAGGTAGCAAACATGATGCAGAATTGCAATTCGAGTTTGAATGTAAGGAAGTAGAATGAAAGGTTACACTTTTTTAAGGTGTCCTTGTTACAGTCTAATTATAAAGTTAAGTACTGAGTAATAATAGTGAACAACATTAACTATAGGGTTAGGGTTTGGTTTAGGGTTAGTTGCTTGAAAGTATGCATATTTTACTGTTACTACTATAGTAAATACATGTTACAAGGACACTGTAAAATAAATTGTTACCACATTTTAAACTGTTTTGGAAAGCTTCGAAGACAGATACATTTGAATGAGGTATGAAATGCCACCTATATAAATTCATATTTAGTTTAATACATTAACTTCTGTGGGCCAGTGTGCAAGAACACTTCATTTGTCTTGGAATTCCAATTCAGTTACAGTTCAATTCTATTTCCTGTCATTCCGATGCTCTTGAATTGAATCAGAGCCTGAATTCTGTACAACCTTGG